AAAGGGGAGAGTCAGGAGGCCACAGGACACAGGAAGATAGCTCTGAAGTTCCAACTTAGCCTTGCCTAAATGTGGCAATCCTGACGATCAGGCTTTCTGCAGTGCAGTTGTTAAAGATTATCTCTGTTGTAGTCAGTCAGGAGACACAGAACTAAGTACTCCAGTCAGTAACTGTGTTGAATGCAGAGCTTAGACCAGAGTCAGTATTTGCATTGTTGATGTGGACTAATATTTAAAGGAAACAGAGACTCAGCATTGACACTCAGTCATATGATCTGTCATGAGTGAGCTTTACAACTTAAGCATAAAAAGAAAGTAACTAAAATTCCCCAATTGCAATAAACCATATGTGCTCCATATGCTTTGGGGCCATAAGAAACAACCCATTTATAATTGTATTAAGACTGCTATTAGCATGTAATACTAAAAAAGCCTATTGAGTTTCCTGACTGATGTGTTCCAAGCCAAACATTGGTCCAAGCTGAACTTTAGGATGTTTGCATTCATTGATACGGTTGTTTAAAGGGCCTTCGGTGCAGCTTTAGACAAACAGTGGGTGCCGTGTTAAAAATCTCACTGCATTAACGGACCCTTTTCATCTAACAAATCAGTTTGGAGTAATCATCACATGGTATACAATGGGACATTTGTACTTCACGTCCTGTTTGTTATGAAAGTCTTTGGTGGAAATTTACAATATAGTCAAATACGTCTGGAAGGGCGACTTACAGAGATTTGGGGCTAGCCATATGCAACTATTAGGCACATTTGTATAAGCCTCCTCCAACAAACAGACTCAAAGAATATCAACATGGCCATCTTCTATTTTTTTACCAAAATCCGAGCTGAGGAGCAGGCTGGAGGCAGGTCAAGGCCAAACTCCGATCAGCATCAGAGATGTGTGAAAAGGCAAATTCGTTTTTGACTGTCAGACTGGGAATGTTAATGTAAAACCCAGACCTGATGTGTCTCCTTTCCTTACAAAGAGTTTCTGCAAAACTGTTCTCAACCAAACAAAGGGCCTCAAGATCAACAGAATGGTTCAGTTCAGTTCAATGTGCTGTTGGCCACAGAACGTCAGCTGACAATTTAACTGGGACTGCAAGTGCATTCAGAACTAATCATGACTTATGAGATTCAGCCTGAGCTAGAGGCTGCTAGGGTCCTGCATGCGAATTTTGCTTTTCTAGATGACCATGTGGGGGCTTTCCAATGCAGTCGTACTTCCACAGTACATACCGGCGGTGCCCGAGGGCATGTTATTCTAATCGTAACTCAGTAAAAGCCAGTTGAAGTGGTTTTCTCACTCCCCTTGGTGATTGCAACACTAGTTCATTTTTCTTAGGAAGCACCTGCTGTACAGTCACATATATTGGCGTCTGGAACTGCAGCAGGCAATTGAAAAAGGTACAAGATAATATATATCATGCAGTCTGAGGGGCATTTAAGAGTGGTCCAGAGGCTGGATTTAGTATTGACTGGTAACTTCACTGAGCCTTCAGTGCCTGAAGTTCTCCAGAAGTCGAAGGGGTTGGGCGTTGAGTATGTAGACCACACGTTTTAACAAAATGCAGTTTTTATTCTCCAAGACCAATGATACAATCATTAGAAATGTTCGACAATCTCACGATTTTTACAGGATTGTTAGTCCCACAAAAACGGGTGAAAGCTCCACAAATAAACAAATCAAACCAATGAACAATGTGAGACGGCAAACCAGGTTGACTGACCACCTTGACTTAAAGATCTGTACAGTATGTGCATGGAAAGCAATGGCAAAAGTAAACAGAAACTGTTCTGCAGCAGTTTACAAACTAAACATTAATGAAGATTATTTAAAAAATGTATATTCATGTATAAAATTGTGAAGGGTTTATTTCCAGAATAGTACATACAAAACACTGCATTTGAGAGACATGTTCTAACCTGATGTTAGAGTGCAAAGTTAAAGATACTGCGCAGGAGCCTGTGTTGTTCTCCGCCGGCCGGTTTGAACTTGAACTCGCTGCCAAACTCTCTAAACTGCCAAAAAAATAGAAATTCTAAGATAAAATTGTGAATTTGCTGATGCTTTGGAAATAACAACATGACTGAGATCCTCTACTCCCAGCCTGCAGGCCTAACTTTACATACATCACTTAATCTGAAAGGAGCGTGCTTATTCAGTTACTTACGAAACCCAAGTAACCCCTGAAGATCTGTGAATCCCACCAGTCACAGCTCCGATTGTGCTGGATTTCACTTGCAAATGAAAAATTGTGGAACTGATTTCAGCAGCGGATTTGTCGACCACAGCTTCTTACGAACATTACTTACGGGGCATTTTTAAAGCTCAGGATTCCTGAGCCACACATTTGTCAACTGCTGGACGCAAAACCCTTAACTGTCCATAATAGCTTGCATGAATTTGGCTTGGAAATGCAACCAAAACATATTATTCAGACAGACCAAGTCAGTCTTTCGGTAATATTAAAACACTGCCATAAAGCAGTTATTAGCAATAAGTAATAACATGGTAACAGTGCACAGGCTCTTTACGTCTGCTCGCAGTACTGTAAACATGTTCGCTCTTCTCACAGCCAAAAGACAACATTTAAAGAAAAGAAGGAATCAAACTGGAGGATGGATGCTGGAAAGCAACATGATCACTGAAGCGGAGAGTGATTGTCATAGTCCCACCCTCAGCCAGCCCACTTTATGCTCTAGATAAAACCCTGACTATTATTACTGAGGCTATTATTACTGTACCTGTATTGTACCTGTATTGAAGATTAGGAATATTTCTCACTTACTTCTACATCTAAATGAAGGCTGCACTTCAAAGTGGGCCGAACTGTTGCTGTAACTTATGTGTAATTTATCAGATAGAAGCTCGGCTTTGAGCCCCATGCGATGGTCTGTGGTTCACACGGCTAGCTTCTCTTTTCCTCATAGCATTTAGGCTTCATTCAAAAAGTAAATAAAAAAAAAACAAACTAAAAGAAGAAAAAAGAAGTGCTTTGCTCCAGGTAATCTTAAACTAAAACAAAATTACATTGGTTTCCCAGGGTGCTGCCCGCAGCCTCTTAACCTACAATTTAACAATGAAGTACCACTTGTTGTAGGAATCCAAAAAAATACACATACATATTCAAAGACCTCGATTAAAACTCGTACAAAATCACATCATTATATAAAATCAATGACGTTTTTGCAGATCTTGTCAGTATGAAATCAATCTCGACACATTATGCCCCTATGGTTTGCCGAGGAATAAATAAATTCAGCAATGATAGGTCTTCACGCAAATGAACCCTAGTAAGTAATTTGGATCAGCCGATTGTCTGTACGCTGTATCTGCTTACAAAATTTGCATTATGAAATATATCATCTTTGATTCTTCATATCTGAAAAAGGCCTAACTTACCCTCCCTGACCTAGAACGTTTGAAATAACGACAGCACAAAGTTCCACTTCTGAGATGCACAAAAGCACATTTGAGATGCAAAGTCACTGAAAATCATTTCATAGTTTTTGTAGTTCTAACAGTTTTTGCATAGTGTTCTGACTTCACAAGTACACAGTCAATGGTCCAGTTTAAGAATTAAAGGCTGATCACTTGGATGAATCATGTACATGCACTGAAGCTAAAGGACGAAGCTATGAGATTGAAATACATATTGCGTTCATAAGGGCATGATGGATGTAAACTGAAAGGGAACATTAATGGTAGTGTTAACAGGCAATCTCCATGTGATCACGGAAAGACTGAGGCAACTGCTGCATGCTATTGGTCTTGCTTGTAGTCACTCAACAACATTAAATAAAAAAAGTCATTTAAAATAAATTAACTTGATAAACATTGGATAACAAAGTCAGAAAAAGAACTGAGAGTGGAATATGCCACATACGGTACGTGTAAATAAATGGTTCACTCAGTTCAAGACTTGGGTCTTCGTGTTTTTGTAAGTGCCACTCTTTTATTAACCCGAAGGGCCCTCCATAAGCACACTGCTTTCTCAGGAGGAACACAAAGCCACAAAAAATACAATTGATCTGAGGACAGAGTCTGACAACTCAGTCTCTTTCCTTCATTGCTTACATATTGGGTATTTGACTGCCTTACAATAATAATAAAAAACGTTTTAAATTACTAAAGAGTAAATATACAGTTAAGTTATTAATCGTCCCAAAAAATATTATTCAAGCGTCTTAAATTTTGACCCTCTAACCGCTTTGCATAATTTAAGGTTTATATGGCTTATATTGCTTCTTAATCAGACCCTATTTGCTACAATTTTATACATAAATTAAGGAGATCCGAGGGCATATACATAGTCATCAGGTACGGTTTAAAATAGCTGACCTTTCACGCATAAATTAAAAATAAAAAAAGGTTCAGTGTTAAAAAAAATTGCTAAATTATACTGAGTTAGTATGAAAATATTCTCAGTCAATAGCCTGGAAGACGCGTACCTAATACAATAAAAGTTCTTCTATATGCCAGTTCAATTCAGTGACTGAGTGCTTGTACAGCTAGCACTGATTCTGCAGTGGAATGTCAGAAATCACAAAGTAATGCCTCTACTCATTCCCTGGAAGGGTGATGTGAAAGTTAAAGATTATAATAAAAATACACTGCTCTGTACAATGTATAGCATTTGTCTAACCATCGTTCCTCACAAACATTTGTGCTTCGGACACCAATTCCAGAAAGACACTTATTACAGAGATTAGCACTTGTACTACGTCAGTGTTTCTCAAACATGATCCTGAAGTACCTCTTCCTTACATGTTTTCATGCTTGTCCTGTTTTAACACAGTCATATGCAAAAATCAAATTACATGAAGTTAAAATATGATAACACATCCTCTACAGAGAACACACTTCTGCACATTTCAATTTACAATTACTGTTTATATGCTGAATTTAACAAATTGGGAAAAATAAAGTGTAAAATGTGGCCTATGTAAAAGTTAAGGCACATTTTATGTTTTGTTAAACCCATCAAATACATAGAAATTGTGCACTAAACTTGACAGAAAATTACATATTTAAGTTTGTTCCTACTGTGTACCTCCAGTCAAATCTGTGTATTCAGCGTATTTTTAAAATATTTTTGCATTAAATCAAAGTGATCTAACTGAATCAAACTGTGGTCAAATTTGAAAGTTCCTGATACACAAAATAATTTACTAAAGAATCGTAATTGAATTGAATTGTTCTGAGGTTTGAGATTTACACCACTAAGCCCTTGCTGAGTTGAAGTGGGTGTGTTAGAGCAGGAAAAACACTACAATGTGCAGGGCATGAGTACTCCAGGACCATAGATGGAAACTACTACATTACATCTTTGAGGCGAGCAGTGCTGCGATGGCCTTTCTTGGGGCTAGTTGCCCAAGGACCTTCTCAATATGGCCTCCATACAGACTCGTCCATCCTGCCGCTGGAGCTGAGGACGGTGGGGGAGCTGCTGTGGCTGCCGTCCGCCTCACCCCCCTCAGTCTGAGTGGGCAGGTTGGGGTTGACCAAGGAGCTGCCCGTGGAGGCGCTAGTGCAGGGGGGCAGCATGCGGGACGGCGAGCGGTCACCCCCCGGAACCATAGAGAACTGGTAGGACCCAGAAGAGGTGCCGTAGTAAAGGTACGGGGTGCTGCTGGTCTGGAAGGGCCCGCTCTGGTTCTGGGTGGAGCCGGGGTAGGGTGGAGGAAGGTAAGTGTGGTAGTGGGTGGTGGTGGACATGCCCAGAGACATGCCCGAGGTGACCGGGGTGGGAGTGTAGGTGAAAGTGCCCGGGTAGTGCATCCTGGGACTGGAGAAGCGTGTCTCGGTGAGAGAGGACAGGCTGGGGAACTGACGCTCAAACTGGCGTGGGTCGGCCGTGAAGGGGCTCAGATCAGACGTACCTAAGAGGGAGATAAAAGCAAGCATTAGTCAGCAGTTTTCTAGCCTATGATTAGTAGATTAGTGCAAATGTTGCTGGCAATAACAAAAGCATGTTGTAATTTTATATGATTTATTTCTCACTCGTAGCTCAATGACACAAGCAGAGCTAGCAATTCAATCCACATCCCATGTGCTTGTAAACAGAAGTGAGGTTATTTATTTATTATCTGAATTTGAGGAACAGTTACTGTTGTGCATACGGTCGTGTTTTGAAGAAGGAAAAACAATTTATGACATTTTTGCCATGTTTGTCATTGCTTGACATCAAAACAAGTGGAAAAACATCAGAACCTGTCAACACAATGTAAATCAAATGCAAATGTAATTCATTAGGTAACTAGATATGAGCTTAATAATGTCATTAGATTTCTACAGCACAGCAAAATGACAATAATTATTCTAGAACTTTAAAGGTTAAACACATCTGAAAAACACACAAACTCTACACATTTATTGGACAAAAGGGGGCGCTATGAAACATATCCTTAAATCCCCACTCTGAGGACAGTTGTTTTTTCTCTTACTGTGTTATCTATCACCCGTCTCGCAGCAGGAATTGTGGTATCTTTGGGTGATGGCAGCTCCAAATGTCAAAACAAACATGGTAATTAAACTGTCTGAAGTTATCATTATAATCAGTCTTAATATTCGGCAATACAGAGGAAAGCTGACAAACCCATACACAGGTAATCACCATCTGCACCCTCTCATCATCTACCACTTCCAAACACTAAAGCCCTTAACCACCTCCTATTACCACTGACATGCTGAAATAACATAAAAATCAGTCTTGTTAACACCTATTTATTTCTCCACCAATGTAGAGTGAAACAATCTCCCTTATCTTCCAGTGCTGGTGTGCGAGTTTGTTTTGTGCATTCATGTGTACGCACACATACATTTGTAAAAATATCAAAGAGCAATAAGTGCAGGATAAAGCAGGAGCACATATGGAAGCACTTTGAGGGGAAAACAGTTTCCATGGGATGCATAATGAGCAACCTCAGATGTGGTTGCACGTCTGCGATTAGCCAGAGAGAAGGGCTGATGTGCTCGCTCAGACCCTCACTTGGCTTTTCTAAAAATTATAAACCACTAATGGGCTGTGGCTACCAAAGCACTGGGCCAAAAGAGTGCAAATGCAGAAAAAGACTTCCCTATGCCTATTCCCTATCACAACCCAACTCTTCCCCCATCCTACAGCAGGACTTCTCTTCTCTCACCTCCAGCATACTAGAGATGCACAAAATATCACACTGCGATAAATATACTACTTATTGTGAGTGTGATAAGCCTGCAGTATCTTAAAAACATATTGGAGAACCCTTGATGTGGCATGGTTAAATACTAAAATCATGCACAAGATACTTTGGGATATCAGAACACTCATCTTGGCTGTGATTGGTCAGCATGCCTATAATAGCACACGATAAAGAAAAGACCAATACTGCGGTAACGATTAACAAACTATATATATCGTCCAGCCCTACAGTACACATGCACACATCCTTCCTCCAATCTCATCTTCCATATTTCTTTTCCTTGTTGATTCCTCTGCTCTCCTCTGAACCCTGATGCAGGGGGTTCACTGGGGTCAGTTCCACATGGTCCTCACTGTCAGTGCAGTGTGTGTCGCTGGAGAGACGCAGCCCCTCTGTCTGGAGGCGTGTGAGTGACGGGTCGGCACGCTTATGAGAACATGTGTTGCCAATTATACACATCGGGTCCTCACGTTATCAGTGCTCTGCCTTTTCGAAGCTAACAGGAAATTCTAGACAGACGACAATGCAACAGTGAGGGGCCCAAAAAAATCATCTTAGATATCTCTTCTACATCCTTATAGGGCCCGTATCATAGAAAGACACATTTTCTTTGTTTTGTTTTTAAAAAACTGTTTGATCTGCTATGTAAACATTGTTAAAGTTTCAAAATGTATGGTTCACTCGACAGTCTGTATATGGAAACTAAAGCCGGCAGTGTACTTCAAACAGAAGCGAAAATTTGATGCAAAACAACGTCTATTCGGCCAAAACAATGTGGTGGTTTGAGTTTGCATGGTGCAGTGGTGCGCTCGTTACAAAACAGAATGTCAAATCACTACTCTGACTGCGACTTGTCCAAATCAAATCGCTGAGTTGATCGCTTTGAGACCTCCCCCTGACTGCGATTGGTCCAAATCAAATCACTGCGTCATCTTTTTGAGACCTCCCCCTGAATGCGATTGGTCCAAATCAAATCACTGCGTCATCTTTTTGAGACCTTCCCCTGAATGAGATTGGTCCAAATCCCAAATCAAATCACTTTGTCATCATTTTGAGACCTCCCCCTAACTGTGATTGGTCCAAATCAAATCACTGTGTCCATCGTTTTGAGACCTCCCCCTAACTGTGATTGGTCCAAATCAAATCACTGTGTAGATTGTTTTGAGACCTCCCTCTGAATGCGATTAGTACAAATCAAATCGATGTGTCGACCGTTTTGAAACCTCCCCGTGACTTTGATTGGCCCAAATCAATGTGTTGTTTGTTTTGAGCCCTCCCCCTGACTGAGACCGCTGTACATTTTGCATGGTTGCTTGCATCACTGCATGGAGCTAGCCTCTATCGGTACTGAGTGAGGCCTGATTCACACATACTACCTCTCCATGGTGTGTGCGACGTGGAACAGCTTGATTTTCATTTCAGTGCTCATGTTAACAGGTCAGCACTTTCACACAGCGAAGCAGCAGAGTGTCCCAGACACTCCACTGAAGTGGCGTGGTATTTAGAGAATAGACCAGGAGCCGTTTTTTCACGCGTCATGCCGCAAAATATACTGAACTAAGCCATTGAAATCAATAAAAAAATTAAACGGAGACCAAATAAAAACATAAAAAACACAAATTCTTTAATGGAATTCTTGAACATTATCAAAGGAAATACTAGTTAAACATTCTGTACTGCAAACAGATTTCCCGGTTGGTCTACCAGGCTTGAAACCATTTCCCAATCACAAGCTGGAATACTGCTGTGGGTAAACAAATATACAGTGCTCTTTAATAAATTATATCTTCATTATCTTTATTAAGCAGAGTGAATGATTTGATCATTTATTTGTCTGGAAAAAATTAACTCCACAGCACAGCTCAGGCATGAGAAAGAGGTACCGAAAAGTACCGAGTTTTACGCCAGCTTACTACACCACGCCCAGCAGTAGTTTTATTCTGTTTAGTTCTGTTGTCATTTGAAATATACTTCCAGTTTAATCTTCAACAGCCCATTTTCAATTAATTGTGGTCGTGATGTCACTTTTTTAAGCATTTACATATGACCACCCATTCTGCCAACAGCACTTTAGGCCAACTCATCACATAGAAGTGACAGGGATTTCAGCTCATGTTCAGTACATTTTAGAACTGATTTTTCTATGTGATAAGCTTCATTTTACTTGTGAAGAGGTCGTTATTTCCACAAATCAGTCTTAAATGCACAGTGACAAAAGCCTAATTAAGTCAAATGAATAAAGAGAGGCTGTGAATGGGTAATGCAAAAATGAATTATGTTTTGTACATAAAACCACAAAAAAGTTACTAAGTGGACTTCAAGGATGTAGAATATGGACTTTTGGAAGGCTTGTACTGTAAGCTTATGGAAAAATATTGAAAATTTTCTTGGATGAAATTATACAGCTAAAAAGAGACACATATTTATATACCACATATTACATCATGTCAATCTCTTAACTCTTACACTTAACTAACTCTTATTCAGAAGGACTTTCACTGAGGTCCAGCTAAGGGGTAAAACAGACATGGCCATCAGCTGGAACTAAACTCAGGACATTCTGATGCATAGCCAGCTTGTCTTGCTGCTGGGCCAAGTTAACAGGCCATCGCATCAACTCTGAGAGATGAAAAATCCTCACCCGTAAAAAAAAAATCAAATAAAAATTCCTTTGCTTTGAGAAGTAAGATCAGTTGAGGTACAGCATGTGAAATACATGCAAAAACATTAAGTCCTTTATAAATTCTCCTTTGTCTATCCTATTTTATCTACTTCTGGGTCTGAGACTTTGCTTTGGTGAAAGCCTAAAGAGGCTGAGCGAAATATGACCCCAATGTGGAGAAGAATAGATGGGAGAGCATGGCAGCTGCTCAAAATGAACTGCACCAGGACGTCCCCTCCCGGCAAAGGGACATTCACAGCCTATCAATGGAAGAATAGAGGGCGTTAGGACCAAGAGGTGCGTGTGTCTCTTTGAGGAAAGAACAAAGGCTGACATCTCCGAGATGAAAGCGGGTTGAAATCTAAACTAATCAAACCCAACAAGGCAGCTGGCCAGGGTTCAAAAAGCAAGCAATGAACAGCCACACTGAGGAGTCATTTAAACTTTCACATTTAGCCCATGCTCAAAGAAAATAGTTAGGGTGGGGAGCCGGAGGGGAAAAAAGTTCAAACACAACCTGGCAAAGAGTCAAACAGGTGTATCGAAAGAGGCGTTCATGCTTAGTGTTTGTTTCTAGTGTAGGGTGTATAAAAAGTTGCGCTCGTTCGGTTAATAAAGGCACGGACACACAGATCTTTTCCACTCATGGAGCTTCAAGTCTTTACGGCCTTTACCTATTGAGGTGTATGAGTCAGAAACTCTATTCTTTTTTATTGTTCCTTTTCAAGCTCGTTCAAAGGGAGTTTTTCTCGAGTTCAAAGGCTCAAGTGGAGGGGATAGGGGCAAGCAGAGATATACTTTCATATTCTCTCTATTTTTAAAGGTGCTACTGGTTGAAAGATATTTGCCTGTGGGCGTGCTTTTCATGCAACGAAATGCTCACAAAGCAAAAAGTGGAGGCTGGAAAAATTTGCTTTGATTTGACTTTCCAGTGGAGTGCAGAGAAACTGGATGAACATTTTGACAAAACCTCACAGCTAATGTGATCATTTAAGTAAGAAAATACCCTCAGACAGGAAAACACCAAGACGCAAACCAGAACATCTCTCTCTCCCTTAAAAGGAGAGGCGTTCATAGGCTAAACATGGTGTTGATGGTGCGGCAGCTGGGTGTGGCTGTAGGGGGTGGGCGTGTTTACCTGAGAGGCGTCTTGGCACATCGCTGATGGCTGGCAGGCCCGTGGCTCGGGTGGAGGACAGTGGGGTGGTGGAGTGGATGGAGGGAGAAGTCATCTGGCTCAGGTAGGGTGTGTAGGGTTGTTCGTACGACCAGGGTGGAGACGACTGGGCCTGCCGCGGGTCTGCACACATGATAGTGGAAACAACAGCAAAAAAACAGATTTAGATAAGCAGATTTTCTGTACTGTAACTAACTCACTGTTACTACTGTTCGAAAACTCATCAACTCAATCTTCAAGCAGTAGTTTGGAAATATCCAGTTTACATAATTTTACTCCAAAGATGTCTGGTGTCCAAAAGCGTATAGGCACCAAAAGTACAGAAAAATTCAGGCTTAAGATTACCTCTGCAAGTGTGTGTGTCCAGTGTAAGAAAGCAATTTGGATGTGGCCTTACTTTGGATTTTTGCTGGTTTGTTTTGTATTGTTTGTTGTATTTTCGTAATTGGTTTTATTTTTAAACCAATTACACCACTGGTCCAGACGTTTTTCCACCGTCAAATGAGAATAGGGCTAGAAACTTTGCATCGTGATAGCAGAGCTTGCCTGGGCCGAAAGATGGGACACTTTACACTGTGGTAGTGGAGTCTGACTAGGCCACGAGGTCAGAAAAATTTCTACTAGGGTAGTAGAGTTTGTGTAGGCTGTGAGCCGGAACACGTAACACCACGTTAGTGGAGTTTGACTAGGCTGTGAGCCGGGGCAATTTTTACAATGGTAACAGAGTTTGGCTAGGCTGTGAGCCGGGGCAATTTTTACCATGGTAACAGAGTTTGACTAGGCTGTGAGCCGGGGCAATTTTTACCATGGTAACAGAGTTTGACTAGGCTGTGAGCCGGGGCAATTTTTACCATGGTAACAGAGTTTGACTAGGCTGTGAGCCGGGGCAATTTTTACCATGGTAACAGAGTTTGACTAGGCTGTGAGCCGGGGCAATTTTTACCATGGTAACAGAGTTTGACTAGGCTGTGAGCCGGGGCAATTTTTACCATGGTAACAGAGTTTGACTAGGCTGTGAGCCGGGGCAATTTTTACCATGGTAACAGAGTTTGGCTAGGCTGCGAGCCGGGGCACGTAACACCACGTTAATGGAGTTTGACGAGGCTGCAAGCCAGGACACGTTTCACCAGGTAGCGGAGTTTGACTAGGCCACAAGCTGGGACACTTTTCACCACGGTAACACATTTTGACTAGATTGCAAGCCGGGACACTTTTCACCACAGTAACGGAGTCTGACTAGGCTGCAAGCCGGGACACTTTTACCACAAGGCGGGACACATTTCACTGCAGTAGTGGAGTTTGACTAGATCAAAAACTGGGGACTTTGCATTGTAACAGCGGAATTTACTAGACCTTGAGCCAGGGACTTTGCATCATGACAGCGGAGTGTGCTAGGTCACGAGCTCAGGACTTTTCATTGTGACAGTGTAGCTGACTAGGTTGTGACCCAGGAAACTACACAACGTAGTGAGGAGGGAACTGTGTGTGCGTGTGTGTTTTGTTTGCTGTTGAAGGAATCATCTCTGGGCTTGAGAAAAGAGCTACATATATTAAACTTATCACTATTATTAATACTTAATAACTCAGTTTGAGGCAAGTATGCAATAATTTAGTTTAGTTTGTACATTGTTAATTGGTGGTTTCTAAGCTTCAGTTACCTCCAGTGCAAACCTAAAGAAGCAAACCTCTGAAACCCAGCATGTCTTGACCTATAAATTATATTGTGCACACTTAAATTTTGCTGAACCGTCGCTTTCACTGTATGAACATACACAATGCAAGTCTGCAGACTTTAATTATTTTCACAGTCTTCCATTTTAATTAAGTGTTAATTTTTGCTAAGCCTGAATGAGCTGAGTAAAAATAAATGGTGGCCCAGTTACAGCGATGAATTTCAACATACCATCACAAGCATCACTTTGTGGAAACCCTTACTGCTACCTCTATGTGCAAAGCAAATCTAGTGCTCTCTGAAAACAAAGGTGTGGCAAAAGTAAGGGCACTCAGTATGCAAATAGTTTAATAGCAACAATGTGAAGAGCGAGCCAAGAATGTCTTCCTGTTTGCTTTCCACATTCATCTGGTAAACATGGTGTCTGCTCTGACAAGCCACGGACTGGAGGGAGTCCAAGTAAATGGTAAACATTTGCATTTAGCTCTGAAGTCAAACGAGCATGGAAAACATCCAGCGGAGCTACGATGTGCCAAAGCGGAGGAGGAAGTAATAGCCAAATATTTTGACAAAGGCAATAGAATTAAGGTGATGTTATCAGACAAAACCAACATAGAGCTGATTAAAGGTGACATGATCAGATCAAACAGTGTGCATACATAACCCACAATAAACATTACTGTGCTCCTATTCATATGCCTTTTTCTTTTTAGTGAGTATTCAACAATTACCACTGTGGGAATATACAGGAATATTTCTTAGCTAAGTGGCTTTCCGCTGAACGACCTTTCCATTTCTTAAGCTTTCACGTAATCAGACATTTCCCACCACTGCACAATGTCTCACTTCCTCCACATAAATGTTTTATCTGTATGTCCCAGACTCATACTCCTGATGTCTGCACAGCAACTTAAACAAAGTGACAGTGAATCAAATTTTACACTGTTTTCCCCTTTATCCCAAATGCAGCCCATCTCCCAAGACATGTTTAGAGTCTGCAACTTGCTTCTCTAGTTATGCCCTGGAGCCGTGAGGCTAATGTAGCTAACAAGTAATATAGGCTTATAACCACCAACAAGTCTTGTGCAAATGGCAAGCTTAAATCATCACTCCCTTACCTTAAACCACATCAAATGTTAGGTTAGGTAATCTCAAATAGAAAAGCGCACGTCGTTTCTGACACTTACTGGTATCTACAAAAATGGACAAAAGTAGGTTGCTAAACTAAAAACAGTATTAGCAGCAATCCTGAGGCCTTTTGTTAGTTTTTGTTGGTGTTTTTGTCTATTTTTATAAATCAGAGTTGGTCATTCAGTATCAAGCAAGTCTATGTGTGATTCAGGCATGCAGTTCAGCTTGTATGAAGCTAATTGGTGGTTATGAGCTTCCATCACTTGACAGCTGCCTAGCCTTATAGCTTTCATGGTAAAAAAAGAAACAAATTCAGACACTAAAAAGGATGTCTTTGGCTGATTGGCCACACTTGGGGTAAGCGGACAACTGCGTAAATGATATTTTTTGCCAAACTATCACTTCAAGGCCACACACGGGGTAATGATAAAGTTAAAGTAATGATGGAGTTGGAAAAAAGCTGAGTACTGAGCACTGGCCAACTCTCCCTTGTACCTGAGATTTGCGTCTGTCCCTGTGGGCTGAAGGAGTTGGCTGCGGTGTTGAGAGAGGGCCGGGGGCTCTGCGTTGGCACGGCGACCCTCATGGTGGTCTGGCGGAGGCGTTCCAGCTCGCTCAGGCGCTCTGAGAACAGCCCGGGCTTTGGAGGGTCCTCCAACTTCTGCCTGTGTCCTACCAAAGCAAGCAAACCTAAGCATTACTGCGTCTGAGCCAGACATTACCGGAATCAGAGGTGGGGACTACAGAGAACACAACAAGGCTCTACGTTTACCAGATACATGTTGCATAAGAGCATGGAACGAATCAACATGGCTGGAAAAATAGGGAAAACGGCTGCATACTTGTGGCTTAGCACGATGGCGTTTATCCAACACTCACGATTAAACGGCTCAGCGACTGTATTTTCCTATTATCGAAAACATTAATGCATGTATGTGTCATGAGAGGGAAATGAGCTGGTTTTAAAAAGGACAGTCATCCTCTAATAAAGAGAAGCAGTCACGCAATGAACGCTTCCCCCATTCTAGGCCACTCACACCTTCCCTGATGAGTGTACTGGAGTGTACTCACAACACGGGCCCCTATATCCTTTCAATAAAAGGCCAATTGCATTGGACTTGCCTTTGTGTCAACATAGGAGAAGAATACAATGTAAAGAGGGTCTTTTTAAGTCTTACTGTGTATTTTTTTTCCTCTCTCTTCAGTCAGAATGTGCCTGTCTGTCTGTCTCACCCTGCTTGGCTCCCCCAAATGGCTGTAAAGTAAATATCAAACAGAAGAAAAGAGAAACTCCTGCTGAAGCTTGGCAGCGCTCCAGCTGGCACAGCCAGGGCCAGCTACCTCCAGCCTTGCAAAACCTGATTGTGCTCCAGAGCTAAGCTGAGCAAATAGCACTTTGTGAGAAGGAGTCCTCATTCAGAGGTTAATATCTGCCGCACATAAGAGCCCCTCCGCATCCTGAGCGGGAGCGTAATCCCTGAGAGTATTCCCCGTGCATGTAAGCACTGGGGGAAATGTAATAAATACACGCCCCTCTCCGCCGCCGCCAAAAGGGGAACCAGTATAATTTCATTTAGCCTGGGCTGAAAGGGTGAATGAATACACCTCTGTGTCTATGTGGAACTAGAGGGGTTACATGCAACGTGAAATAGTATCTGCCAATATACTCACCATGTTGAATTTTATTAGAGGCATAAAATCATTGAGGGTGTAATGCTTCTTGTTCCATAAATATCAACACAGGATGCACCACACAAACCTGCCATTGTATTACTGAATAGGACAGTTATTCCTCATCACCGTCCGCCAGCAACTAACAGCTGTGGACAGTGCTGTAAGCATACAGCAATGTCAAACATGCGGCACAAACTCAGTGCTCCTCTCAGAAATATCTTTAATACCTAAATTAAAATTGAATAACGTTGAATCACAGATGATTTACTGAATGCATTATAATTAAGATACAATATACAATTACTGTGCAAAAGTCAGAGACCACCTTTCATTCATTTACTTTCCAGTCAAACTGCCATTAAGTACAAGTTATTCATTGTTCAGTGTCAGAAAAAAGCTGAAAACGTATATTTGACAGAAAATTACACAGAAGCCTAAGCAATACCAGTGGTGGACAGTAACTGAGTTAATGTAATTCGTTACTGTACTTAAGTAGTTTTTTTGTGTTTCTTTACTTTACTGAAGTATTTCCATTTTGGATGACTTTTACTTTCACTCCACTACATTTCAAAGTCACATATCTTACTTTTTACTCCACTACATTATGCGAAATCTGTCGTTCCTTTTGGCTTATGTGTGTTTAAAATGTAACACGTCAAAACGAAAGAAGCATAACGCGAACACACCAATCAGGATACAGCGCACACTTTGTTTTGAGCTTGTTTTGACCTGTTGGACATACCGACCCAGTGCAAGCACACGGTTCAATGTCAGTGCAGCAGCGCAAGAGTTTGGGAGCGCCTATGCCGACATAAATGATGGAACTAACCTAACTTTGTGTAAATATATCACAATATAGAAATATGTACACATATGCAGTTGTGACTAACATGTCTTTTTTCTGAATTTATACAAACACTATTTCATTTTATAGTGAATTTGTTTTTGCTAGTTTATGTTTATGAGCAGAGACCTACAGATTCAATATAGTAAAGGAAACTCATTTGTGAACCTGTTTAAAGCAAGTTTTTATTAAATTTAAACTTGTAACTAAGTTGCAAATAAATCTTAAACTGAAACTTTGCTTGTTCGCAAAAAGTTATTTCATGGCCACCTGGTTCTACCTAATGGAAATTGTTTTCCTTCAGTGTTTTGTTCTTATGATAATTTTAATAGATGTCAGCGTCAGACTAATTAATGACATTCCATTAAAAGACTGGTTTACCAAGAGTGACACTCGAGTATTCACCTAAAATGAGTTAATGAAGCAGAGTCTTGTTACAAAAATGGTAATAGGACATAATAGACATTAGAGTCATAATTAATCTTTTAGTACTTTCACTTTTGATACTTAAGTACATTTGAAGGCAAATACATTTGTACTTTTGCTCAAGTGGAGGTCTAAAGGGAGGAACTTCTTCTTTTACTGAGTAATATTTAACCTTGAGTATCTCTACTTTAACTCAAGTACATGGTTTGTGTACTTCGTCCACCACTGAGCAATACAATGCATTATCAAATTTGCTCAGTATTTAGTGTGTCCACTCTTTTCCTTTATTACAGCTTCTTTTTAAGAGACTAGCCTTCAGTTTTTTAAAGAAATAGTAGATGTTTTTCTCCCCCACCTCCAAAGTTCAGTCTTAGAAGTTGGTTGAGATTTATGCTTCTCATCATGATTCAAGTCATCTCCAACACATTCAACGGTGTTGAGGTCTGAGCTCTGTGGTCGTCAGTCCATTGTTTTGAGAACATCAGCAGCTTCTTTGTAAAACTCGCAAAAATTCTTCTTTTTTGTCTATTGTCCTTTCTTGGCAGCTACACATCCTTTCAGACTCATAGTGTTGAATCATTTTCTTAAAGTGGAAGGATGGACAGAAACACTGATGGATTCTTCAGATCTGAAGCGAGAGTGGAGCTTGATTTTCTCCTCTCTCTCAAAGATGAAAGCTTTTAGTACTGTTTATCTGATGGTGACAGTTTTGGTGGTCACGTCTTGCACGGTACTTAAGAGCCACATTTTCTCTGTACCTTTTAAAAACTTTTTGAACTCCAGTTTTGTATGAAACTCCCTTTTTTACTTATTACCGTTTGATTTTCTCTTTCCTTATTTAAGTTTTATTTTATACCTAATGTCACCAGAAATATCTCCTGACAAATGAATGGCTGTCCTGACTGGGAATGAGATAAATGAAGTCTCTTTTTGCACAGTCCTGCATAAATATCCATTAATATCTTACATCTCTTACAGTATACAGAGATTGTAAATGTCACGTAGCTCCCTGAAATGCCATTTTAAGCCTAATTAGATAATTAGAGCATACACAGTGAAAGCCATAAACTCTGGAAATGTAGGGGGGAAAAAAATGACGTGGACTAAAAAGTCAGACTAAATATCCAGAGGGCCGGAGAGAAAAAAAGCAATAATGCGAGTGATTCATCTCCAGCAAAGGAAATTCCGTAACGCTCACATCCTCCATGAGAAATAAAAGGTTTACGTTAGTGTCAGAGTTAAATACAGTGAGTCAAGGGTTAAGTCTAGAACTGTAAGTGGGGACACCAATTATATACAACAGATCAGAGCCTAAATGTCCTGACATTAGTAGTGAGTCTGAGGAGCAATTCTCCACTGAAGAAAAACAGAGTAAAAGGGGCGCAGTCGAAGCGCACACAGGCTCCAAAGCCTTGGCACGAGCAGAACTGTGAAAGCTTTGTCTTTTCCAGAAAAAAGAAAGTGGCACGGACGGTAAATAATACGAGCATATAAATACTGTGTGGCTGCATTTCTGGCAGCGTTCCTGCCTGCATGTGAAATTGCCATCTGATAACGTTATGACCTGCAAAAACACCCCTCTCCTCGTTAAACACCAGCGCTCGCTACATCAAATATCAGCCCGTGCCGTCAGGGCGCATCAATCATCCAGTGGCGACGCAAGGAATAAAACGGATGGGAGAAGAAAGGGAAACATACATCCGTCTAGATTTCATTTCTTTAATTGCTGTGCTGTAGGGAGGGCTGACTCCTCTGAAGAGCGAAACAATGGATTATTTCATATGGCAGCTCCGCACGAGGAGCCTGTGAAATTAGTGAGTGAGACGAAAAAAAAGGGGGGGAGAAAAAAAGCAGCAAGAGACGGGACAAGGCCAAACGCCCGTCTGCTCACAGGATCAGAGAGGAGGGCAGTGGGTGGGGAACAGAGAGAGAGAGAGAGAGAGAGAGAGAGAGGGAGAGAGAGAAAGAAAGAGGGAGAGAGAGCAAGAAGAGAAAAGAGAGAACAAGGCAGCCAAGCAGCGCTGGACTTGTGCCAGGCGCTTGTGTGGTCTGTGTGTTCCAGGATTCAGGAAGCAAAGCACGCCAAGAAAGGGCACAAATACTACCAGAGCTTTATAAATCGACAGGCTGGCTTCAGCAATCAGGCGCGATGCAAATTCACAACATAAACAATCAAACTTTCATCCAATGGCCAACCCATATTTGTTTGAGAGGTTACGCAAGGCCAAATTCAGTCAATACTAGAAGACGTACAATATACAAAAGCGAGACAGATTAGGCCTACCTTGCACATTTCTCAACTGAACGGTGCTGCTAGAACATTGGCTTAAGCACTCTGAATGAAGCTGAATGTACCCAGAGAGCTAAATGCCTTTGGACCGGTTACTTGCAATGGTCCCTGAAACCACTTTAAACGTTTGTGTGCAGGGAAACGGTTACGGTAATATGAACGCTCCCTTTCCGTTCTCACATCGTGCCGACTGTGTCCGTGACTCTCACAGCAGCGGGAGCCCGCCGGGGGTAATGCACTGGAGCCGTGAGCAGGAAAAAGACAAGGGGATTTTACCCAACTGTACGGCTCCTTCCAAGCTGTCAGCCTGCTGTCGTTAATACAAGCCCCACGCTTTCCTCTTGGCCAACAGCAACAGCAACATACTTTTCCTAAGTTCACTTTGCGATTGGAAATGTGCTTAGGGAAAGAACGACCTGGTTATTTCTTATGCGAGTC